GGCTTTTGAAGTTGAAAAGAATGTGATATTCATACAGTACTTAATTTCTTAATTGTGTGTGAAGGCAAGGTCTGCATTTGATTTTGTTCTATTTCTATCCATTCATTATTACAATTGTTCTTCTGAATCCATTTAATCAAATATTGTAATTGATTCACAAGAAAATAATGAAAATTTGTCACTTCTAGGGAGATTTTAGTGTTTTTTCCAGTAAAATTGTAACATTAATGAATCAAGGGATTTAAGTCATGTGTGGGTGTTGTGGAGAGCATTGAAAATAAGTAGTTAATTTGTGGCAGAGTTTTTATTTTGAGTGATGAACAAGAGAGGAGAACTGGACCAGCATTGAAATCATTGCCTACCTTTTTTTTAGCAGAGGGGTGTAGTTGAGGTTAAAAAGCTCAGATAGCCTGGGGGAACTATTGAAATATTGAGACAGTTAATGTTGCCAGTGTGAAGTAGGCGGGAACAGTCTTGAGCTGCAGAATTCCAGCTGTTGTGCTAATATGGTGGTTTTGCGCCTAAACATTCTGTCTATAAAAATAATGAACAGAATCGGTGACAAAGGGCAGCCTTGGCAGAGTCCAACATGCACCGGAAACAGGTCTGCCAGCAATGCGAACCAAGCTCCTATTCCTATCATACAGGGAATGGGGAATGGACAGCTCGTAACAATGAGGCCTGCACCCCATAGTCCCGAAGTACCTCCCACAAGATGTCACAAGGGACATGGTTGAATGCCTTCTCCAGATCCACAAAATACAAATAGACTGGTTGGGCAAAGTCCCATGAACCCTCCAACACCCTAGTGAGGGTATAGAGCTGGTCCAGTGTTCCACGGCCGGGGTGAAAACCGCACTGTTCCTTCTTAATCGGCCGGATTCTCTTCTCCAGTACCCTGGCATAGTTTTTCCCTGGGAGACTAAGAAGTGTGATCCCCCTATAATTGGAACACACTCTCCGGTCCCCCTTCTTGAAAAGAGGGACCACCACCCCGGTCTGCCAGTCCAGAGGCACCGTCCCCGAATTCCACGCAAGCGTGTCAGCCAAGACAGGCCCACAACATCCATATACTTGGGAAACTCGGGGTGGACCTCATCCACCCCCGGAGCCTTGCCACCAAGGAGTTCCTTAACTACCTTGACAACTTCAGCCAGGGTAATGGACAAGTCCCCTCCCGAGTCCCCAGCCATGGATTTCTTTATGGAAGTGGTGTCAGAGGGATTGAGGAGATCTTCAAAGTACTCCTTCCCCTAGCCCACAACATCCTCAGTTGAGGTCAGCAACACTGTAAACAGTGTTGGCAGAACACTGCTTCTCCCTCCTGAGGTGCCAGACAGTTCTCCAGAATCTCTTTGAAGCCAACCGAAAGTCTTCCTCTATGGCCTCACTGAACTCCTCCAAGGCCCAAGTTTTTGCCATGGTGACTGCGAGAGCTGCGTCCCGCTTAGCCTGTTGGTACCTGCCAGCTGCTTCAGGAGCCCCATGAGCCAACCAGGCCCAATAGAGCTCCTTCTTCAGCTTGACAGCATCCCTTACTTGTGGTGTCCACCACTGTGTTCGGGGATTGCCGCCACGACAGGCACCAGAGACCTTACAGCCACAGCTCCCAGCAGCCGCCGTGACATCGGAGGTGTGGAACATAGTCCATTCAGGCTCGATGCCCCCATTCTCCCTCAGCACCTGTTTGAAGCTCTGTCGGAGGTGAGAGTTGAAGACCTCTCTGACCGGGGCCCCCACCAGACGTTCCCAGCAGACCCTCAATATATGCTTAGGCCTGCCAGGTCTGTCCAGCTTTAGCCTCTTGTATTTCCTTAATTTTGTTGTTTTGTCGTATTGCTGCTACTAGTGGTTTGATAAAAATGGCACATAGAGATGGTGAGTGTGGTCATCCTTGTCTGGTTCCCTGGTGAAGAGTGAAACTTTCTTAGGTGATCCCTTTGTGCTTACTGTGGCCCTAGGTAGAGTGCTTTTATCAAATTGGTGAACGATTCTCTAAAACCAAACCTGTTCAGTGTGCTATTGTTATCAAAAGCTTTTTCTGTCTAATGATAGGATTACAACTTTGTTTTGTTTTTGTTGTGCAGGATTAAATAAATTAAATAATCTACAGATGTTGTCAGAAGCATCTCTGTTTTTAAAGCCTGTTTGGTCTGAGTGAATTCATGTTGGGGTGACTTCTAGTGTCTAGGGCTTATCTGAATCAGGGTAATCTGAATCTGAATCTGCTTAACTGGCCAGGTGTGCCGGACACACAAGGAATTTGACTCTGGTACAAAAATCTAATGATTTTTAGATCTGGTTTTAAGTGACCCCCTCTACCCCCACCCACCCAGTACATACACAGATATGTTCCCCACAATGTCCGTAATACCAGGTGCAAACACACACCCCACCCTGTCTCATCAGACAGTTCCAGGGACTTCACAACGTTATGTCAGGCGACTCCTGCTCCACATAATGAAGTGCTGATTACTGTGTAAACTGTTTAATCATTAGCACTTCTTGTGCTAAATACATTTACCATCCTTGCTAGGACAGACACTAACTGCATCCTGAATCCTGAATGTGTCATAACTGCAAAGAAATGTTATGTATGAATTTGGTACTATCGGGAAAACAGTACGGACTTGTATAGATTATTTTCTGCTTTCTTTCTTTAATGACGATGAAGTGAAGGAATTTCAGGGATGCTTACAGGCAAAAATACAATCAATGACAAAATCGTCTCAAACCAGAGGTCCTCCTTCTAGTTTTTTATGCCATTCAACCACATCTATGTCAATTTGTTGATGAAAGAAGACCATGACATGGTTTAAAGTCTAGAAAAAGCTCATAAGTGAACCCTGACTGAAGATGCTACAGATGAGGAACTTCTGTATTGAATCTAAGAGATGCCAAATTGTCAGCTATACTCCTGCAGAATCTCACTCGGGGCACCAGGGATGCCAGGAACAAGCTTTGGCCGTTGGTTGAACAGACAAGGAAAGATGGAAAGAAAGCAGGGTTTAAAGGCCTGTTCGCCATCATTAACACTATCTGTGAATGGTGTATGATCTTTGCCACAGATATCTGAAGAGAACAATAATCTATTGATCCCCAAATAATTCAACAATATTATGCCTTCTTCATTCACAACTTTGCCGATTTTGAAGTGGATCTATTTAGTTTCATAGATTTTGGTAGTTGTGTTGTCCCATCTCTTGTTAAATATTTCATTTTTATGCTTATGTCTATGATGTTCTCAGGGTGAATACTTGGTACGAATTGTACATCATTTCCTCTGTAATTTGACTGTAATGGTGCCAGTGAATGATTAGGAGAGGAAGATAACTAGAATAGGAGTAGAAGTGGGGAAAAAAATCAGTAATGCTATGCAGCCTCATTACGCATCTTATAAGCACCTTTCATCAGCGGAGCTATTTTTATTTATTTATTAATTTTGTGTTGTTGTGCACTTGCATTGGTCCTGTAACTACACTGAAATATTTTGGTCAGACATTCTTGCTTTTATCCAAAGTCAAATTCTCAGTGAGTTCTCTTTATCCTTTAAAGACATTCTTTTCAGGACTTTTGAAGGATGTCGACAACAAATATTGTTTAACAAAGTTATGTTTATAATTAGAAAATATTATATTAATATATTTAATAACAGAAAACCTCTGATGACTGTCTTCATAAACGATATCCAAAAATACTTAAAAATAAATGCCAAAGCTGATAAAATATTATGCTTATGTGAAATGTATAGTATTGAATTCTAATATTTTTGTCCTCCCCAGTTACATACATGAGAGGATCAGATTATTAGAAACACTGCTGTAGTCCAGTACAACACCACCTTTAACTATGACCGCAATAGTAAACACATAATTGAATTTATACATTTATGACAATCTCCCTAAAAACTGAAACATTTTGAACTTCATAAACACAGATGTTAAGGTGGAAGTGTTGTGCATACAAATGTTCAGGTGTACCTAATAAAGTGGCTGGTGAGCTTGTAAGTTATAAACAAGTTTAATAAAAATAATTTGCTTATCACTAATCATTCCTGACCTTTGACCTTGAATAGAAATCCGATTTGGACCATTGAATATTAAGTTTGAGAACCCCTGCCCTAAATGCCAGAGGGGTCATTGTGTGGTTTTTGTTGATCTGATAAATTGCAAATACATTTGGTAATGTAAACCACTATGTAATCTTGAGACATCTTGTAGAGCGTGTCAAATAAAGACTAGTTGATGTACAAATTTAGTTTAATTTTATATAGTCTACTAACAGTATATTATTATGACTTTGTTATTTTACTTGCTATTGTGCATACATGGCATATCTCTCAATTTTCTGTTTATTTAAGTTACCACCAAATAAATGCCAAAGCAAACCTGGACCAGGAAATACTAGAGTAGGGTTTAGCAGGTTTCAAAGTAAAATCTAATAAAGCTGCAACATGGAGTTTGCTGTGTAATCTGTCCTACAGATAGGCCATTAGAAGTAAATGCTTTACATACGAAGCACATAAAAAGGAAGGTGTGGGGCACCACTAGGTTAATCTTTCTTGGTTTTGAAAAAAACAAAAGAATAATCTGCTAATAATTGTACATGGTTGCTCATACTGCATATCATTTACTGTAATTCTGTATAAATACACCTCTATTGATAGGGTTTGGAGAAAGTGGCGGCTATATATGCCTTTAGGTGTATTTATACTTCTAGGAACTAAAGTTGCAATAGGTGTCAACACCTTATCCTACATGAAACTAATCTCCTCTTGCGAAACCATAGTTCAGACAGAACATCTAAACAGACCTAAAAATAAAAGGGTCCTACCCATTTTTTTTTGTTTAATTTGACATATTAAATACGTTTTGTATTTCTGCACATCGAAAATACAAGTTAGTGGAGTACTTGGTTTTATTTGTCAATCAATCAATTCCATTTTTAAAATGTTTGCCTTTGTCACACATGAAACGTGTGTGCGCTTTTATTTTTAAAGCAAAATCGCCCGTTTTCCGGTGTCACTCTGGCTAACGGTGCCTAACTTGCCGCAGGTCACGGACCGCAGGCTTGCGCCACTTGATGCACCCACATTCACGCACACACACGCGCGCATTCCACCAGTGACTGTAGTCATCGCCTTGCTTCCAGAAACGGACGAGCTTTTGGATTTAGCAGCCGGTGCCTCCGTTCAGCGATGCTGTGAAGAGCTGCTCCAGGTAAGGTGGTCATTAATGTGTTAGTACATTCAGGTTCGAGCGCGCGACGAGCTCGGGATTCAACAGCTTATCAATGCGACCGCTGCCTGCTGACGGATGACTCACACCGGCGAGAAGGACCGCCGGTGATGAAATGTCACCGGTATGTATGCAATGTGACAGCCGTAGTCATCGGCCGTGTGGTTGAGCAGGTATATGAATCCACGTTCACGTTGCTCTCGGCTGCACTGGCGATAATGGAAGCTCCAGCAGCAGCCCCGATGCGTGCCATTGTCGCGCGTGGGGAGATTCACGCTGCTGTCGCATTTCACATTTCAGTTGCAGTTGAATGTGGCCTTGCTAATTTTCCAAGTGTAACGTCACTTAATGCCTCACAAAATATGGCGAGTGAATCCTAATATATTCGTCAAACTTTAAGCTAATACAAAACGCGCCATTAATTTCAATGCAAGTCAAAGTTTTTGGATTGCTTAACGCTGTGACAACTCGCTACCGCCCAGCCAGCGAACATTTCTGAAGGAGAAATGGTGTGGACAAGAAGCCCAAGCGTGACCAACGAAGGTAGACTGGTGTTATGTATGGCAAAATTATAATAATCCTCCAACATGCAGGGTTTGTGTCAGTAGCTTTATAGCCATACCATAAACCATCTTCATGAGAAATGATATGCGTTGTGACATTGATACATAACAGGGGTCCCCTAGCCATGCGTATACATAAAAAGGGGTCCCCTAACTACACATGCTTTGATGCTGTTGGATTCAGTGCGCATATGCAGACGACACTACAACAGCTGGAAGGAGGGTTGCTATGGCGGAACGACTGAAGCTCATACGGTTGCTATGCTGGCCGATAATTAGAGCGGCCTGAGGTTAAATATAAAAGGCTCACGTGACGTCAAAAGTGCGATGTGGTATCGTAATTTTCGGCGAGAATGGCACATGCTGTATCTTCTCTTCCGCTTTAAGTTGTGAGCTCAGAGCAGGAGCGTCAGTTTTCGTCTGTGATGAGTAGCAGTTCCTGCATGTTTCTAATTCAAGAAGACCAACTGGTAATGTTAACAGTGTGGGCAGGGTGTCAGCTCTGAAAGGATTATTTTTTTATTTTTACATTCCCACTCAAACATGGAAAGCTGAACCACAGGGTACATCACTTTCAGGTACATGGCGTCTTTTCTTGCAGGATGGACTTAGTGGTGGTCCTCTTGTAATGCCCCACATCCAGGGAGAAGCTGAGAGCTCTTGGCAGTCAGAGGGGGCCGGGGACCTGTTGTGGGCCCTTAAACAACCTATTATAAACTGTATGGAAACGCAAGACAGGAGGGGAAATTTATGCAAACAGAGAAAAATGCAGATTACTATGATGTATTTCAGAACTATGGACATTACTATGGATTTATCATAAATTATTGATCTACTGATATAGTATTTTTATGCAGAAGCAACGCGGTTTATGCACGTCTCACACACTCTTGCTCATGAGACATTTTTTCTAGCTCAATAAAGTATTACATGATAGTTTAAGGATGAGCATGCCATGGGCTCTTTTAACAGTGCAGGTCCAGGAAAAACACCGCACACAGTACAGATAGTTGCAGGAGCAAACAGTGCTAGTGTTAGCAGCTACCTCGAAGTGCAGAGCATGCAGAGCTTGTGTCAAGTGTACTGTACAGGGAGTACCACCAACCTTGCAAGTAGAAACATTACGAAGGCGACACATTGTTGAACCGATGGAAACAGTACAGGTAGCTGAGAGAGCAGTTAGTCGGAGGCAAGTAACATAGCACACCGGCTGATAATTGCACCAGGTTGGGCTGAAGTCAATAATGAAACTATAAGCTATTTCATTTGCAAGGACACGTGCTTGTGTTGTTGAATATGTGGGATTTGGAGAAATGACAGTGACTGAAGCTGAGGCACACAATAGCAAGTCAGCAGGATTTAAGTGAAAAATGCATTTCAGCTCTGTATTTCAACTTACTGTTCACTGGTGCCCATTGTTTATTATTGTTAAAAAGACTAGACATCATGTTTTATCTATTTGGCTTTTGCTGCATGAAATACAAAACTGCTTTGAGAAAATACTAAAGCCATTTTCAGTTAAGACACGGTGGGCGCCATGCTCCATTATCAAAACCATTCATTTCTATGTGTTCCACGGTGCAAGAATGTAGCACAGATGCCTGCCTTTCCTGCGCGGTGTGCTGAAGTTAAAAAAGGTCAACTTGAGTGCAGTGCTCTGTGATGACACCTCGACGCGTCCAATTACAGAGAACCTGATGGACCACAAAGAAAATGGAAGAGAAGCTGATTTTGGTGGATTCATCCCTCTTCTTCTTTGCTGCATCCCGTCACAACTAAAGCCAGAGCTTTTTGCTGACATATAGATAGATACCTTGTGCATCCAAGTCTGCTGCTTGAAAAAGTAAAGAGCCCATGTCATGCTCATTTCCAGTCATTTAATGTTTACTCTTAGGTACCTCTAGATTCTCTTTGCACTCATTGTAACTCCAAATAGTCTGTAATTATTTCAGAATGTTAAAACCAGAGAGCCTCAAAAGTGAACAGCACAACAAACCGCAATGGCATTAATTAATTTGAACTTCTCCTCCATGGATAGGTAAACAATAATTGACACATGACAACCGTGAAAGAAAATGCGCACTCAGGGTAGAGCCACAGCTTAGCAATGTTCAGCAATCCAGCCGAATCAACAAACATGACAGGCCTCCCCACTCACAACAAAAAGGAAAGGTGAAACAAAAAATAACAACTGCAAAGAAAGCAACTTAGCAGAATTCGAACTGTGTTGTGGGTGAAGACACTAAAACCACACCCAATCGCAGAAATGAGCCACCTGTCATAGGTGGTGCCGGAGTATTTCTCTTGCTGGTGCTAAATTAAAGCTTTGGTATTAACTAGTGGGGCTGCATAATTTGAATTAATTTAATTGCTAAGTATGCTAGTGCAGAGCTTAGGAAAAGTTGGTTTTAGTAGGTCTGTTCATGCATGCATGTCTATTCGAATACCACACAGCTGAATAAAAACTGCAAAATAAAATTAAAAATAGAAAAAAAAATAGCTATGAGCAGGTTGAATGTGCGCCGCCCAGGAAAGGTCATGTTTGTATACCACAGGTGGTCTCACTCTACTGCACTCTTAATTGGCTATCCTCTGCAGCATTTTCAGAACCTAACAAGCGGTATACCTGTATTTCGCCATGCATAACCTTCCAGGCTGAGGCAGACTGTCCTGCTTGGCTTTACCACTGTATTTTCTCTGTGTCGGGTCTCTGTTTAGAGGAGGGAAGAACTGCACCCCTCTCACACAAGCAGTCAGCTGAGCAGAGGGAGAACAAACAGCACTCCAAAGTGTAACAGTCAGCAATAAAGGAGACTGTATTCAGTTTATCAAACAGCTGTTGAACAAGCAGAACACAGGCTTGCAGAAATGTGATGTCTTCACCCCTTTGCCCGCAGTCCACTCACTGAAATCCGTTTTTCCTCTGAACCAACAAGTGACGTCCATGTTTTACTTCTGAACTAGTATAAGTGAATCATTACACACTTGTAATGCAGACATTTATACAGTCATGGGTGACTGCTCTTATTACTTGTAGGGCTGTCCTGAATGGCAGTTTCTGGGTTCCGGATGTCCGGATATTCAGTGGTAATAATCGCTGGATATTCTCCACACGCTGTGGTGGCGGGGTGTTAATAGGCTGACATTGTGCTGCAGCTAAAAGTCCCTCTTTGTACTTTTATCTGCAGGCTATTGTGTTAAAAAACAAAAATTTAATGAAAGTTCTTATGTGGTATTTAATGTAACAGATGAACAGATGACCGGTCTTCTTAACAATTTGCATGTACACAGAATGCTCTACATTTCCATCATTGATATGAGATCGACTGATAGTTTTACCGGTGAAGACGTCTCACTCTGTTGGAGTTGTTAGAACAACAGAGAAGCACTCAGTTCACTCTGGTTATTCAGTTGTGTAACAGAGTGATGTCTCTAAGTTACCACATACTGTAAATGATCTTCAGCTAACAGCAGACAGCCATCTTGATTATTCGAATACTAAAATTGAAAAACGATTACCAGCCCAATAAATGAATATGAAATGACTTTAACACATCAGATAATTTTTTGGTGGAGCTATGGTGGGGCTAAAGCCCCACCCTAATGCCACTAATGCCGCCTGTTCTCATCATGGATGTATTAGAGGAGAACATGTAGGAAGGATGCATTTGTGGGGCAAAGGCATAGCTAGCTAGCCAGCAGACCGTAGACTGTAGTAGGTGTAGAGACCACTGAGTGATGGTAGTAGACGGGAAAATATGGTTTTGGTGTTTATTCTCTTTTGTGCTGGTGTTTGAACAACAGTGGACGGTGCTCAGCTCTTACACACACACACACACACACACACACACACACACACACACACACACAGTGAGCAGACAGGTGCTATCACTGCAGTGGGAATAGGGAGCCCTGGAGAAGTGAAAGTGAAACTTATGGCTGTTTAAATTACCTATACCTGTTAATGTACATGCAATAAAACCTTTGCGAGTAAAAAGCCAGTAGAAGTAATTTAATGAAACACCTACTAAACAAGCATAAACTAGCAGACAAGCCACAATTTCAGCATTGCCTGCAATCTGCAAGCTTATTAGGTGAACAGCTAATAGCCTAGTGATGGTCTATCCCAGGGGTGCCCACTACGTCGATCGTGATCGACCAGTCGATCGCAAAGGTAGTGTTGATAGATCGCGTGCCAATCAAAAATAAATTAGATGTATCCGGCGTAAAACATGTGCCAAATGTTAACATGTGAATGGTCAGTGTGACCATTTGCTGTGACGACCCTTAACGGGAAAAGCAGAAAGTGCCAATCATTCATATATAGCCTATCATCCATTCTCCCTATGGCATTTGCTACTTGATTGACATGCAGGGCAGCCAGTCTGAGATCTTGTCTTTTCTGACACGAGTCAACCA